GGAAGCTCGATAATGGTGGGTTTCCCGAGCCACCCCTACTAGGGAATATATTGCGCGGCTGAAACGGGAAAAATCAGGAATCGAAACTATTGCTTAAAAACTACACACGACCCCCTCGTCAGCGGCCAGAATACCACCCTGTGGTATTCAACACAACAACAATGTGCCCTGTGCGAGGGGGGGGGGGTGATACAACAGAAACGGTAAAAATATCAGCTCATTACCGAAATCAATACAGACCCCTCTTGGCAAAAACAACAAACAACACACTCCTGTTTCCATACTTTTTAGACAGTAACACCCCAGGGATTTTCAGTCACGTATTTCGACAATTACGACCAAGAACAACGACGTTCCCCTGCACTGTCTAATAACAAAATAAACATACATTTTTCTCTTCGTTCTTGTTCGCCAGCGAGTTGATGAGCGATGGAGCTGTTACGAACGGATTTCCGTAGGAAGTGACGGGTGACGAGTAAGTGAGTGATGCAGTTGGAAGACTAGATAGTGATGAAGCAAGCAGTGATGATGATGGCGGTTCGTACTGTGGATAGCCACACATTGGCATGTAGCTCGTTGGAAGGCCTAGAAGTCCTTGAGCCAGCAAATCCGCTGCCGGGTCACGATTCGTCAACTGATGCTCTGAAACATGACAAACTGAATTTAGATTCTTTCTCCCGGCGAAAGGGGACGTTTACGTAAGCTTGTTGACTTGAATTGCCGAATTACCCTATTTGGAATAAGAGCACATGGACGCACGTGATCAGCAGTGAAAACATGCGATTCTTTATTTAGCTGTGTCGAAAGGGACCAAACTAACGGCAGCAAAGGAGGAGGGAGCTCGCCTTTTCTACAAAGCTACAAGGAACAAAAGACGGTTTTCTTCTTGGAGTCCGATTCCGCAACAACCGGATGGGCGGAGACTTACAACCACAGTGCCTTGCTCATTGCGAAGCCCCCTCCATTTGCCTCCGAATTGGGACGCACTCATAGGGGAAGGCGCAGCACTCGCGAGTCTGCCCCCACCCTTCTATCGCGGAATATGCTGCTGTCGAACTGACCACTGATGAGAACTGCTAATCGCCTTCCTCCCTATCGAGAAATCATTGGAAAAATGAACAGGTATTCCCGTGACACAAAATTTGTAAGAGCCGATATCTGCCCTCAGCTCCCTCAACCCCTCCTACCCCTTCCTAAATCGGACGAATATTTCGCTACGAAACCAAAGATAATGTCGCTTTCGCTGCAGACACTGGAGGGTTCGGACAACTCGCACTCAGTCCCTACAGTCGCATCAATTTCTATTCTTCTCTGCGCTCTCTCATCTTTGTAGTCCATGACCACTGTGACCCTCCATCTTGCAATTAACCACGCATAGGGAGCTCAATCATCCCGGAGCCCAGCCCTCCCTGAAAAAACCCGTCCTTGGTTCGCGACATGTTTTTGCACTTTTCAATGCCTTGGCAGCCGCAGTCCTCTATTTCTTCGTGCACAGACTTTT